TAATATATATTAGGTAGCAGGCCTGTAGACATATATAATTAAATATGACCGAAAAAGTAAGATTAATAATTCTAACACGAATTTTCTCGATCTTTCTTACGTTTCTTTTCCCTGTTGATGGTAATTCAAAGATCAATTCTCCAAAATTCATTTTTATTTTTAGTTTGAGGCGACACTTAAGCGCGTTTCGTAAAACTTATTACATTTTCAAAGACTTTAGTTTACAAACACACAACTGAAACTGAATAGAGCTTACACATCTTCGATCTTATATCTACATTTGGGTGAGGTGGATGAGGTGAAAACAAACTTTCAACAATGGGTATTGAATGGGTATTAAATTCAAACACAAGACAGAACATGAAACAATAGGTATTGAATGGAAGTAATTGTAGAAAGCCTATTGGTCCATATTTCTTGATGCTTCTATATTGGAGCGGAGTCTTGAAGTGGGTAGAATATAGTTGTGCATTAATTGGCTGTTGATTGCTGGTGTTGACTTCTTGATGTGTAGTGCCTCGCAGACGTCAAGCCGCCTGCTATCACTGTATCTATCGATGATTTCTCTGTTGTTTGTTAAGATTTCTCTGGTTATGGTTTGTTTGTGGGAAGAGATTATATGTTCCTTAATGAAGCCCTGTTGCTTATGCATCGTTAAACGCCTGGAAAGAGATGTTGTTGTCTTGCCTATATACTGGGTTTTTTGGAGCTTACAGTCCCCAAGAGGGCATTTGAAGGCATAGACGACGTTGGTCTCTTTTAAAGCGTTCTGCTTTGTGTCTGGAGAGTTTCTCATGAGTAGGCTGGCCGTTTTTCTGGTTTTATAGTAAATCGTCAGTTGTATCATCTGATTTTTGTCTGTAGGGATAACGTTTCTACTGACAATATCTTTCAGGACCCTTTCCTCCGTTTTATGGGCTGTGGAAAAGAGGTTCCTGTAAAATAGTCTAATAGAGGGTATAGGTGTTGTGTTAGTTGTCTCTTCAGTGGTTGCATGGCGTTTTACTTTCCTTTTTATGATGTCTTCCACGAAACCATTGGAGAAGCCGTTGTTGACTAGGACCTGCCTTACCCTACAGAGTTCTTCGTCGACTTGCTTTCATTCTGAGCTGTGGCTGAGGGCACGGTCGACGTAAGTTTTAACAACACTCCTCTTGTACCTGTCCGGGCAGTCACTGTTGGCATTCAGGCACATTCCTATGTTTGTTTCCTTAGTGTAGACTGCAGTGTGGAAACCTCCGCCCTTTTCCATGACTGTTACATCTAGAAAAGGCAGCTTCCCATCCTTTTCCGTCTCGTAAGTGAAACGCAGCACGGAACTCTGCTCAAATGCCTCCTTCAGCTCCTGCAGATGTCTGACATCAGGTACCTGTGTAAAAATGTTGTCAACATACCTGCAGTATATGGCCGGTTTCAAGTTCATGTCGACTAAGACTTTTTGCTCGATGGTACCCATGTAGAAGTTTGCAAACAGGACACCTAGGGGAGAACCCATGGCGACCCCATCTACTTGCTTATACATGTGCCCATCCGGGCTCAAGAAGGGTGCCTCTTTAGTACAAGCTTGGAGTAGTTTCCTCAGAATACTTTCTGGCATGTCAAGAGGAGTACAGGCTGGATCACGATACACTCTGTCGGCTATCATTCCGATTGTCTCGTCCACAGGTACGTTGGTAAACAGCGATTCTACGTCCAACGAGGCTCTTATCCCTGTGGCCCGTGCGCCCCGCAGTAAGTCCACAAATTCCTTTGGAGACTTCAGGCTGAAGGCGCAAGGAACATAAGGAGTCAGCAGGCCGTTGAGTCGCTTCGCCAGTCTGTACGTGGGTGTGGGTATCTGGCTAATGATTGGCCGAAGTGGGTTTCCAGGCTTGTGCGTCTTGACATTTCCATACGCATATCCAGGTTTATATTCCCCAATGATCTTTGGCAGGTGGAGTCCGGATTTCTTGGCGTTCACAGTTTCGATCAGTTTGTTGACCTTTGCTTTTAATTCGGCTGTAGTGTCCTTCGTTACCCTTTGGAACTTAGTTTGGTCAGTGAGTATGATGTTCATTTTCGCCAGATATTCGTCTTTTTTAAGAATGACATATATTGGCGACTTGTCACCTCTCCTGACAACTATCTCCTTGTTCTCACGAAGGCTTTTAGCTGCCGCTTTAAGCTCGGGGGACAGTATGGTGCTTCTGTAGTTGCCTCGATTCTTTCCTCCTTCTGCAATAAGTTCTGCTTGTAAGGTATCTTTGGTTGTGACCTTCTTTTGTGTCTCGAGGTCGAATATGTCGTCCAACAGAATTTCCAACTCTACTTTTCAAATTCCTTTGGAGACTTCAGGCCTTCAGCCTGAAGTCTCCAAAGGAATTTGTGGACTTACTGCGGGGCGCACGGGCCACAGGGATAAGAGCCTCGTTGGACGTAGAATCGCTGTTTACCAACGTACCTGTGGACGAGACAATCGGAATGATAGCCGACAGAGTGTATCGTGATCCAGCCTGTACTCCTCTTGACATGCCAGAAAGTATTCTGAGGAAACTACTCCAAGCTTGTACTAAAGAGGCACCCTTCTTGAGCCCGGATGGGCACATGTATAAGCAAGTAGATGGGGTCGCCATGGGTTCTCCCCTAGGTGTCCTGTTTGCAAACTTCTACATGGGTACCATCGAGCAAAAAGTCTTAGTCGACATGAACTTGAAACCGGCCATATACTGCAGGTATGTTGACGACATTTTTACACAGGTACCTGATGTCAGACATCTGCAGGAGCTGAAGGAGGCATTTGAGCAGAGTTCCGTGCTGCGTTTCACTTACGAGACGGAAAAGGATGGGAAGCTGCCTTTTCTAGATGTAACAGTCATGGAAAAGGGCGGAGGTTTCCACACTGCAGTCTACACAAAGGAAACAAACATAGGAATGTGCCTAAATGCCAACAGCGACTGCCCTGACAGGTACAAGAGGAGTGTTGTTAACGCATACGTCGACCGTGCTCTCAGCCACAGCTCAGAATGGAAGCAAGTCGACGAAGAACTCTGTAGGGTAAGGCAGGTCCTAGTCAATAACGGCTTCTCCAATGGTTTCATCGAAGACATCATAAGAAGGAAAGTGAAAAGCCATGCAACCTCCGAAGAGACAACTAACACAACACCTATACCCCCTATTAGACTATTTTACAGGAACTTCTTTTCCACAGCTCATAAAACAGAGGAAAGGGTCCTGAAAGATATTGTTAATAGAAACGTTATCCCTACAGACAAAAATCAGAGGATACAACTGACGATTTACTATAAAACCAGAAAAACGGCCAGCCTACTCATGAGAAACTCTCCAGACACAAAACAGAACGCTTTAAAAGAGACTAACGTCGTCTATGCCTTCAAATGCCCACTTGGGGACTGTAAGCTCCAAAAAACCCAGTATATAGGCAAGACAACAACATCTCTTTCTAGGCGTTTAACGATGCATAAACAACAGGGCTCCATTAAGGAACATATAATCTCTTCCCATAACCAAACAATCGCCAGAGAAATCCTAGTAAACAACACAGAAATCATCGATAGATACAGCGATAGCAGGCGGCTTGACGTTTGCGAGGCACTACACATCAAGAAGTCAACACCAGCAATCAACAGCCAATTATTGCACAACTATATTCTACCCACCTCAAGACTCCGCTCCAATATAGAAGCATCAAGAAATATGGACCAATAGGCTTTCTACAAACACTTCTATTCAATACCCATTGTTTCTGTTCTGTCTTGTGTTGATACTTTATTACCCTATTAATATCCCCTAGTGTTCTGTCTTGTGTTAATGCCACATCACCCTTCCCACCTCACTCAAATGTAATGCCACATCACCCTTCCCACCTCACTCAAATGTAGATATAAAATCAGGGAAACGCAAGTTCTAATCAGTTGTGTATTTGTGAAGTCTTTGAAAATGTAATAAGTTTTACGAAACGCGCCCATGTCGCGTCAGACTAGAAATAAAAATGAATTTTGGAGAAGTGATTTTGATTTACCTCCAACAGTGAAGCGTAATGTACGAAAGATTGAGAAAATTCGTGTTAGAATTATTAATCTTACTTTTTCGGTCATATTTAATAATATATATATATATATATATATATATATATATATATATATATATATATATATATATATATATATATATATATATATATATATATATATATATATATATATATATATATATATATATATATATATATATATATATATATATATATATATATATATATCGTACCTAGTAGCCAGAACGCACTTCTCAGCCTACTATGCAAGGCCTATTGTGATTTCTGTGTGTATTGTAGAAGCCACCTTTATCCATAACCTTAGAGTCGACAAAGAATTTCAACATTAGGACAGGTAAATGATAACGGAATAGGCACAGGGTTAGTAGACGAGATGTTAAAAGCTAGTCCTCACTTCTTCGTAGACAATGGCTAGTGCGCTAGTGCATACGCGGTTATAGTTACGTTACCTCTCAGATACGCACCTGTTAGGTAAGTACCGAGTACGTGATATTTAAGCTGCACGGCACATGATAGTTAGGGAACACAATAGTTGATGGGTAAGCTACTCAATAGATGATTGATGACCACTACAATAGATGACGGATGGCCACCACAACACATTACGGTTCCCTAAACTGCAGCAAAATCTATTTCGACAGCTGCCCTGCAGTCATTAGCTCACACATATTAATTACATTTGAATTCTACGGTTGACTGACTTCAATAATGCATTCTTCAATTTGCTCTTCAACTAGATACTTTTATAAAACAATTTATGACAGTTGCAGTGGCAACTATTCTCTCTCTGTAGGGAGAGAGAGAGAGAGAGAGAGAGAGAGAGAGAGAGAGAGAGAGAGAGAGAGAGAGAGAGAGAGAGAGAGAGAGAGAGAGAGAGAGAGAGAGAGAGACAGAGAGACAGAAAGAGAGAGACAGAGAGACATTTATCTGTAGGTCAGGGCTAACTTACCTAAGATAAGAACGACAAAACACAGTAGCAGCGACCAGCTCTCACTCTCCATGCTGGCATCGATCGATCCCCCGTCTCCCTGGTGTTCTTCTATCACTTCTTCTCTCATTAATCAACTGTTTATTGACCGTCTTCACTTAAATTTAAATTTTAAAGTTAGTTATAGTTTTTAACAAATATGTCATATTTGGTTTGGCTGCATATTATCTTGCATTTCTTCCCACTTTACATATTCATATTGTTTAATTTTTTGCTCCATTGCTAGCTTGAGTATTTTTATTATCTACTTTTCCTCTCATTATTAGTGTATATATGAGAATTATGATATTTCTCAGGAAGAGGAACGATTCCTCCTCATTTTGCACTTTCTCATCACTTCATATTTTCTGTTAAGGCACCAATAAACAACCCTCAAACACGGACTCTGACACCGCCACATCTTCTCTGCTTAAGCAAGTTCAGACCACATCCCTGCATCTTCAGCACCAGGGAGGATTAAAGGATTAAATCCGATAAATCTTGATCAAATCCGTGCATCATCAACACCGTTGGAAACGGATTTATTTACGAATCCGCTCTGTACTGGCCGTCAGCACTGATGAAAGGCAAATTTTTACCAGACTGTTACATCATTAAGATCGAGAGGAGTGGAAGCAGCAGCATCCGGATGTGCCAGAGGCTGGGGGAGGACTTAGCATCATTCCTCTCCCGTTACTGTTCTTCCCAGGCCTTGAACACTTGATCAGAAAAATAATTGTTGTGTTTATTACGTTAGATCGCTGGGATTTACTTCACATGAACACTTACTCTGAATAATAGATTAATCATTGGAATTGGTACACGTTTTAAATGAAATGAACATATATGGGGGGGGGGATAATATTGATTTGTTTGTCTTGTATACCTAATTTTGCCTCGACCTTCTAACTTGTGTTATAGATTCCAAGCAATTAATATAAAATTTGCAGCAATAAACGCTATGTTGCAAGAGTTATCTCCAATGAGCTATAGAGAAAAAGCAATTTCACTAAAAGAATATATATATATATATATATATATATATATATATATATATATATATATATATATATATATATATATATATATATCGTACCTATATATATATATATACTTATCATATATATATATATTATATATAATATATGAGAAAGCTGCATGAACGCGCAAGCCATATATCACTAAGAACTCTTTGAGCAGGATTACCCATGCCGTCCATACCCCTAAACGTACACAGTACCGTGACCACCGCACCAATGAAACCTATAAAGAAGTCTTGGCGCTAATGACTGACCAATCCCCGACGACACTCATGGAATTTGGGACAGTTTTTCATCAAATTCTGGCGCATGCACGGGCCGCACAGTCTAACATGTGTGGAAAGCTGCTGAACGCGCAAGCCAATCTTAGAGAAAAAATATTGGTGTTCGGTGGTAAACTGTGTAGTATTATATCCTGGACGGCATGGGTTATATATATATATATACGATATATATATATATATATATATATATATATATATATATATATATATATATATATATATATATATATATATATATATATACATATATATATAAATGTAGAAATGTCCACATTTCTGTCCACACGAGTGGATGTGAAGAGAACTAATGTCAGTGGAGATGGGTATGATGTGAAGATATATTTAATGAAGAGTGTATGTGGCCTTCTCACTCTCATCACAGTGATGAAACGTGACAGGAAAAGTGTGTGCGAGAAAAACAGAGAGATAGTGTGGCTTTGTGTGGGGGAAGAGAGAGAGAGATAGTTTGGCTTTGTGTGGAGGAAGAGAGAGATAGTTTGGGTTTGTGTGGGGGAAGAGAGAGAGAGAGAGATAGTTTGGCTTTGTGTGGAGGAAGAGACAGAGAGATAGTGTGGCTTTGTGTGGGGGAAGAGAGAGAGAGAGAGATAGTTTGGCTTTGTGTGGGGGAAGAGAGAGAGAGAGAGATAGTTTGGCTTTGTGTGGAGGAAGAGAGAGATAGTTTGGCTTTGTGTGGGGGAAGAGAGAGAGAGAGATAGTTTGGCTTTGTGTGGGAGAAGAGAGAGAGAGATGGTTTGGCTTTGTGTGGGGAAAGAGAGAGATAGTGTGGCTTTGTGAGGGGGGAAGAGAGAGAGATAGTTTGGCTTTGTGTGTCATAATATTCGCTGTAAGGTCAACATAATTATGTAAACACAAACATGAGGTGTTGCACTCTCCATGGCTTGTTTGTAAATAGAAAATCCTTCTAACTATCATGAAAAAGAAACATTGTAAACCACAGAAGAATGTGAACCACTTTTTTTGAGCGCTTCGATTGTTCAAAAACACTCAAGTGTTCGTTTTCCCTTCCTATTCCCCCAGTAGTAATTATAGGGACTTGGTTTTGAAGTTATTTAAAAAAATGGGTTGATGGTGTTATAGGGAAGCAAATAGACGAAGAGTTATGTGTACTGAGGCAAGAAAAGGCTTTAAACTTACTAACAAGAGTCAGAATTAGCCTTTTTCTGTCCTTATTTGTTAGAAATAAAATAAAAATTGACAATCCTGGAAATAAGTAGTCGTCACTGCTTCTAAATTTTATTAGCATATTTCAAAACATTTAACAAAATTCGCACGATATAAGCAAAATTTAAAGTTAAAATAAATCAGCGTGGGTGATGTAGAGAGTGAACAATGTGATCCACATAGTAGACTTGGAGTAAGGACTGGGAAGGCGTTATGAAGAGGCAATATACCAAGAACAAAATAAGTGAAAACTGTAGGTTACCACTCAACACATTCTCCTGGTTATATAGTACCTATTATGACGGTCGTCAGTAGTCAGAATTCGTACGTTCTTAGGTTTTAGATAGTAATATAGTGACTAGTAAGTAGTTTAAAAAAAAAAAAACATCGATTTTGAACCAAAAAATTATTTGCAAAAACACACAAAAAAAAAAACAATAAAAAACATAACATATATGAGCATTCATGAATTATTTAGAGATAACTAATTCAAAAATACCTAAAATCGAAAAGTCCAATTAAAAATTAATTTAATCCCAAAAACTGTGGGTGTTGAAATTTGTCAAAATCAAATCAGAGCAAATTAAAATTCCTCTTCGTCACATCGATATAGAAACCTTAACTTATTTACAATTTACTCCCCCCCCCCAAAAAAAAAAAATAAATAAATACATAAACCCACTAAAAATTATTTAAACCTAATAAAATTTCCCTACCTGCCAAAGACATGTACATCAGATAACACCAGATAATCAGTAAATATCAAAGATAAAGAAACTAGTTAATAAATACAAGGATATACACAACCAGAGGTTTACCTGGCTTTAGTCCTAGACTAAAGTGTACTTTGGTGGTTGGTCAGTAAACTATTGAGGTGGCCATTGTTACCAATTGTGGTAGCTATTATGGCCAATTGTGGTAGCTATTATGGCCAATTGTGGTAGCTATTATGGCCAATTGTGGTAGCTATTATGGCCAATTGTGGTAGCTATTATGGCCAAAATTGTGGTGGCCACATAATGCCCTTTTCACGGTTGATGGACCTTAAGCCCAACACCAAACCGACAAAAAAATTCGTTAAACGAATGCAAATGTGTGTTTTTTCTATCATATTTTCATTCGTTTTCACGGGGACAGTACGCCTGTGTATATATAATTTTACTTTAGGCCTGTATCGAGGTCCTCTCCGTGGCCGAATTATTGATTTTCCTCAAGATGCCACCCACAACAGTTTGCTTTCTCCCGGGTACCTTATTTACTGCTAGTTGAGCAGAGGTATTAAGTGAAAGAAAACGTGCTAAACCATATCTGTCCTGCCCTGGAATGGAACCCTAGATCCCTGAGTGTGAGTTGAGAACGAAGCCAACTGCAAGGGAGCTGTAGGGAATTATCCTCGTATCCACATATCCCTACTCATTATCCTCATATCCCTACCAAGTGCTATATATACTATATACCGAACCTTACCTGGCGTAACCAAATCTAGGTTAACCTAACCTTACCATATCAAAAGTGGCCTAACCAAATAAATCTTAACCTGAACCTTAACTCTCCTAATCTAACCTAATCGACAAAGATTAAAAGACAAACCTTCCCTTTTTCTAGTATAATCACTAAATAATCCTTCTATTTCCCTAGTATGGTACCTAGATAATCCTCCCATTTCCCTAGTACGGTAACTAGATAATCCTCCCATTTCCCTAGTATGGTACTTAGATAATCCTCCCATTTCCCTAGTATGGTAACTAGATAAACATTCACTTTTTTTCTCGATAGATGGAGCCTAGAGCCTAAAAAGAGAGACAGCAGCTCAGGTGAGGAAGAGAAGATTGAATCCAGCCATGCAGATAGTTATTAAGCTGTTAAGCTGTCTGGAGCGAGCTTCTCTGACTTGTGAAGAGTGATGTCGAGTGACAGTAAAGTGAATCTTGCGCTTCTTCAATAAAGTTAAGATCAAGGAAGACTGAGGTCGTTGTCGTCGAGGGCATCTCGACAGTAAAGAGGAACCTGAGGCTCATATAACTTGTTTTATTATATAATTTATTTGTCTGAAATACGAATGACATGTCATAGAAATGTTTATAAATTTCTATTTGTTTTGTTTTAAAATTAGGTACTTGTTGAATTATTAAGTAATCGGCAATTTTATGCGTTTGAAAATATTACTAAAAAGATTACAATAAAATGTATATTATAAGTTTGCAATTTATATTTTTGACCATAATAATGAAATTAATTGACGGAGGATTTTTCCAGACCATTTTTCAGCAGTTTCTTTATTGCTATGTAATACATTTTCTGAGAGAGATTTGGAGGGAGAGAGAGAGAGAGAGAGAGAGAGAGAGAGAGAGAGAGAGAGAGAGAGAGAGAGAGAGAGAGAGAGAGAGAGAGAGAGAGAGAGAGAGAGAGAGAGAGAGAGAGAGAGACAGACAGACAGACAGACAGACAGACAGACAGACAGACAGACAGACAGACAGACAGACAGACAGAGAGACAGAGGCAGAGACAGACAAAGACAGAGAACGCTCAGAGAATCTTTCACACACTCTCTTTTTTTCTCTCTCTCTCCCTCTCTCTCTCTTTCATTTTCACCCTAAGTCACTGCTAGTGGCCCTAAACTCCACTCTCCCTCACTACTAGTGCCATCATGCCTCAACCTTCTTCACTGTAGGCATCACTCCTAGTATTTCATTCTTCTGAGCCTTCACCTTCACTTTAATGTTATCGTTACTTTTCTTTCTTCACCTTCGTCACATTTTCAGTGATGTTACCTCGATCATGAAAACTATAGTTTCGCTACTGACAGCTAAAGCTTGCTCCTGACAGCTGAAGTTTTGCTACTGACAGCTAATACTTTGCTCCTGACGGAGGCATACAGACAGTTGACAGCCATCTGGGAAGTCAGGATAAAACACCTTTATTAATAAAGACGTATCAATTAGACTCCCTGAAAGGCCCGGATTTTTTTTTTGCCTTCATGAAGGAAGTGAATGAAAAAACTCATTGAGAGAGATTGCTGTACCAAAGAACGCCATTACAAATAACACGACCATTGCCGGAAATCCCAAAATACCAGGGAAATGGGCTGAATACGTCGCGTGCCTTACGAGCCTTACGAGGCAGCCACTCAGAAAATCAGATCGGTCAAAAGGCTTTTTAGAACCAGGGGCCAGATTCACGAAAGCACTTACGCAAGTACTTACGAACATGTACATCTTTCC